GAAGGGGTCCATGGGGCTGGGAGGTCTCTGGGGTTCTGGGGTTTTTGGACTTTCCCAGCCGCACATGCAGGTGCAGCAGCTCCCCAAAGGTGTTTGTACCTGGCGGGGCACCCCAGGAAATGCGGGGTCTCTGGGGGGTCCCCGAGAAGGGTGGGGGTGACTCTGGGGTCCCTGAGAAGGGGTGGTCACTGGGGGAGCACGTAGTGGGTGCGGGGGGGGCATCCCAGGGGCTCGGGGGTTCAGCAGGTCCCGGCACTGCCCCGGCTGTGCAGGTGTAGCAGCTCCCCGGAGCTGTGGGGGTTCTCCAGGACGAGCGGGGTCAACATGGGTTGCCCCCAACCACTGTGGGTCACTGGGGGGCACTGAGGTTGTGCCAGCACTGTGGGGGTCACTGGGGGTACATGTGCCATACGGGGCACTGGGAGGACCCCAGGTGGGAGTCACTCGAGGAGGACTGGGGGAACCCCAGGACACAGAGGGTCCCCCATGGGACACTGTGAGGTGCCCAGAAGGTGGGGGCTCACCCTGGGGGCACCCAGTGCTTGGGGGGCCCCCGAACAAAGTGGCTGCCCCGGGGGACCCTGTGGGACCCCCAGGCCACGTTGGGGGTCTCACCCAGGATGGCGACGACGACGTCCCCACGCAGGATCTCGATGGAGCCGCGGGAGATGAAGTAGAGTGCGGTGAGCACGTCCCCAGCGTGCACCAGCGTGTCCCCGGGGGGCGCGTGGGTGGTCTTGAACTTCATGGCCAGCGCCCGCAGGCAGCCCTTGGTGGCCCCCCGGAACGGGGCACAGTTCTGCAGCAGGCTCCGGTTCAGGTGCAGGCAGATGTCGGCCTGCAGGCACTCGGGGAACCCCTTTAGCACCTGGGGGGGCACAGGGGTCAGGGGCACGGCAGGTTTTGAGAGGAGGTCACCACGTTCGTGTGGATGCTGTTGGTGCAGGACCAGGACTGCTGGAAGCTCTGCCCGAGCAATGGGGGGCTGAAGGTCACGGGGGATTTTAGGGGTCCCTGGGAAGTTTTGGGGGTCTGTGGGGGCATCCTGGGGGAGTTCACTGCATTCATGTCAATGCCACTGCTGTAGGGCCAGGCGTGCCGGAGGAGCTCAAAGAGTGAGGGGCCAGGGGACTGCAGGGGGTGCTGGGGGGCCCTGCTGGGTTTGGGGCATCCCGGGGGTCTCACTGCCTTCATGTCGATGCCATGACTGCAGGACCAGGACTGCTGGAAGCACTCCCTGAGGAGTGGTGGGCTGAGGGCCACGGGGGATTTTAGGGATCCCATGAAGGTTTTGGGGGCCTATGGGTTTTGAGTGGTCTCACTGCATTCATGTCAATGCCATTATTGCAGGACCAGGTGTGCTGGAAATACCTGGGGAGAGGCCAGGACACCATCAGCGGGTTTAGGGGTCCCTCTGGGGGTCCTGAGGGGTCCCGGGGGTCTCACTATATTCACGTTGAAGCTGTTAGTGTAGGACCAGGAGTGCTGGAAATACTCCTTGAGTGGGGGGTTGGGAGGCCATGGGAGTTTGGGGGGATGCAGTGGGTTACAGGGGTCCATGGTGGGATTTGGGGGTCCTGGGGAGCCATGGGGGCTTGGAGGGGATGCAGTGGGTTACAGGAGTCCAGGGCAGGTTTTGGGGGACCTTGAGGGCCATGGAGGTTTGGGGGGGACGTGGCAGGTTCCAGGGGTCCGTGGTGGGTTTGTGGGGTCCCAGAGGGCTGTAAGGATTTGGGGGGATGCAGTGGGTTCCAGGGGTCCATGACAGGTTTTGGGGTGCTGGGGGTCTCACCGCGTTCATGTCGATGCCGTTGGTGTAGGACCAGGCGTGCTGGAAATACTCCTCGAGGCGCTGGCGCAGCGGGTTGGGGATCTGGTGGAAGCGGATGAACTCGCGGACCCGCAGCATCTGCGTGTGGTAGCGGGCAGTGCCCGAGTACAGCCGCTGGATGATGGCCGACACGTTCCCGAAGATGCTGGCGTACATCAGCGCTGGGGAGAGGCAGGTCAGAGGGGGCTGCGCACCCACGTCCCCCCTCACCCTCCACTGTCACCCCTGGGGTCCCTGTGTCCCCAGGTGAGAAGGTCTCCCCTGAGCTTCCTCCCAGCTCCCTCAGCCACTCCTGCTGCTCCAGCCCCTTCCCAGCTCCGTTCCCTTCCCTGCACACGCTCCAGCCCCTCAGTGTCCTTCTTGCAGCAAGGGGCCCAGAACTGCCCCCAGGATTCCAGGTGGTGCCCAGCACAGGAGATGGTCACTGCCCTGGTCACACTACGGTGACACAAGCCAGGTGCCCACTCTTGCCCATCTGGGCTCATGTCCAGCCTCTGTCATCAGCACCTCCAGGGCCTTTTTCACCTTTCCAGCCACTCTGCCCCACACCCGGAGTGTTCCATGGGACTGGTGTGACCCCAGAGCAGAACCTGGCACTTGGCCTGCCTGATCCTCATGCAGGTGTCCTCAGCCCACGGATCCCACTGTCTGGATCCCTCTGTGGAGCCTCCTGCTCCCAGCAGAACCACATCCTACCCAGGTGTGTCACCCGTGGATGGGCCGAGGTGCTCTTGGCATCAGTGAAGGTGTCACACACACACAGGTGTGCACACATGTACAGGTATGCACACACAAACAGATGTGCACACACACACACAGAGGTGTGCTACACACACACACACACACACACACAGGTGTGCACACATGTACAGGTATGCACACACACACAGATGTGCACACACACACACAGAGGTGTGCTACACACACACACACACACACACACAGGTGTGCACACACACAAGTGTGCTCTCTCACACACACAGGTGTGTACATCCTCACAGAGGTGTGCTCTGACACCCACACAGGGGGGCTCTCACACCCCCTGGTCACTCACATCCAATCAACATGACACAGATGGAGAAGATCTTCTCGGAGTTGGTGTTGGGGGACACGTTGCCGAAGCCGACGCTGGTGAGGCTGCTGAAGGTGAAGTAGAGCGCGGTGACGTACTTGTCCTTGATGGAGGGCCCTCGGCGGGGGTCGCTGCTGTTGAGGGGCTTGCCGATCTGCTGGCCCAGGGCGTGCAGCCAGCCCGTGCTCTGCCCCTCCACGTTGCCGATGGCGTACCAGATGCAGGCGAGCCAGTGGGCGATGAGGGCGAAGGTGCACATGAGCAGGAACAGCACGGCCGCCCCGTACTCCGAGTACCGGTCCAGCTTCCGCGCCACCCGCACCAGCCGCAGCAGCCGCGCCGTCTTCAGCAGCCCGATCAGCGTCGTTGTCTGCGGGGTGGCAGAGGGGTGAGTGGGGGGAGAGAGACCCCATGGGCACCCAGAAGGGTGAGGGGGTCCCTGACCCAAGCCAGGCACCTCCAGCCCCCCATCCCCTCTCCACACATCAGCAGCCCGATCAGAGCCGTCATCTCAGGGGGGGTGGGTGGAAAGGGGGTCAGTGGGGGAGAGATACTACATGGGCACCCAGAAGAGTGGGCCATCCCATCCACACCAGCAGCCCAATCAGTGTCGTCATCCGGGGGCTCAGCAGTGGAGAGACACTCTACAGAACCACAGAAAGATTGGGGGTCTCTGCCCCCAGCCAGGCACCTCCATTCTAGGAGTCTCTCTCCAACAGAGAGAGCCTCAGGTGCCCCCCAGGGCCAGGACAAAGGTGGTTTGGGGAGGGAGGAAAGGGGACAGTGCTGGCAAAGAACCCCCACAGATCCCTGGAAGGGCAAAGGGTGCCCTGGGTCCCAAAGCTCCCACATAGCCCCAGGTGCCCCCAGTGTCCCACCCCAGAGCAAAGGTGGTTTGCAGAGGAGGACAGGGTGGTCACCAGGGGTAGTGGGGTGTCCTGGGCTGGGGGCACAGGTGGGACCCCCAAACACCAGCCCCTGGGAGGATCTGGCACCCATCCCCAGCCTGGGGGCACAGGTGGGACCCCCAAACACAACCCCCCAGCACCAAACCAGCACCACCCCATCAGGACAGGGCCCAGCCAGTGCCACCACGTCCCCACATTCGTCACCTCCTCGGAGCCGGAGCCGAAGATGAGCAGGTCGAAGGGGATGGCGGCCACCATGTCAATGAGGAACCAGCCCTTGAAGTAGTGGATGGCGATCTTGGCGGGGTGACTGACCACCTCCTCGTTGGAGTTGACGTAGGTGGTGCGGAAGTTGATGAGGATGTCGATGATGAACATGATGTCCACGATGAGGTCGACCACGTTGAGGGGGCTGCAGGAGTAGCCGCAGTGGTGCCTCTGGGCCTCCTCCGAGTCGCTGAGCAGGAAGGCGGCCGAGTAGGGCGTGAAGATGGCTGTGTAGATGACGAGCAGCAGGATCAGCCAGTCCCACACCGCCTTGAAGGGGCTGTAGTGCAGGATGGTCCAGCGGTGGATGCGCGGCGCCTGCAGCTTGTACTCGGGGAGCACGTCGGCACCCAGCGACAGCACCTGGGGGGCATGTGGGGGTCAGTGCTACACCCCAACACCCCACGGGGCTCAGGTCCACGGCCCAGGTAGAGGTGGCGCTTGGAGATGCGGGTCAGGGGTGGCCTTGGATGCTGGGTCAGCACTGGGCACGATGGTCTTAAAATGAACAGTTTTGTAACTCTCTGGGGTGCAGAGGGACCCCAGTACACACCCCGGTGTGAGCCACAAGGAGTGCACAGGGATGACATGGGTGATGTGGGGTGAAGGGGAACGGCTGCAGAGCACAGCTGGGATCAAGTCCCCCCCAACACCGAGTCACTGCACAAACTCCTCCTGCCCCACAGACCCCACCAGGGCACTTCCCACCCCAAATACCCACAGACACAACACTGCCCTGTGCCCCTCACCCTGTGCTCCCCACCTGTGCCCCCCAACTTGGCCACCCCCACCATGTCCATCTAGGGGGGTGTACAGATCCCCCCACCATTTCCATCAGGAGGGCATGAATACCCCCAGCCACCCCCACCATCTCCACTGAGGGGCACAGATATCCCTGTGCCTCCCATTCCCTGTGCAGGACACCTGGTACAGCCTCTGGGTGTGACCCCAAGGGTCCCTGGGCATTCTCGGGGTCCCTGGGGCAGTACCTCCCCTCCCTGCCATTACAGAGACTGTTACCACGTGCAGCCCCAAAGCTCAGGTGAGAGGTGACAGGGGGTGACCCCCAGCCCCCCAGCCCCGTGCCCCACAGGGGTCACAGTCCCCCTGCTCCCCACTGGGGTCCCCTTGCCCCACTTCTGCCCCCCCCATCCTGCCCATGCCCACCACAGGCCCACCCACTGTGGCGCTGCAGGGAAGGGGACAGACAGACACCCAATTGGTCCCCAACCCCAGGGACACTTCTGGGGAGCTGGGGGTCTCCTGGGGGTGGCTGGGGGGATCCCCAGTCATGCAGGGCCAGAGCTTTATGTAACCCCCAAACCTCCCCAGATCAGCACCGAGGATGCAGCTGGAGCCTCGCGCGGCCACCACCAGGTCACGGGTGGGCACGGTGCTCCCCCATGCAGCACCACCCCCCCCACCCCCAATGCCAGCCCCCCCGGGGGGTGCGGTACCAGTACCTTCTCCTCCTGTCCGTGCCCGGTGCCATCGCGGCGCAGCCCCAGGCAGGTGCCACAGAGGGAAACCCCGGGCATGGAGCTGGGGCCGGGGGGGGGCCCAGACCGAGGGGGTGCAGGGGGGGTGCCCGGGAACTCCTGGAGCAGCTGCAGGAGAGCGGGCAGCATCCTCGGGGCGAGGGGGGCGGCGGGGGTCAGCTCCCGCCGGCCTGTGGCCACCAGGGACCCCCGTGCCCCGGCCCTGTGCCCATCACAGTGCCTGGGGACCCCCAGCAGCAGCGGGGACCCTCAGGGGCAGGGGGGGCCCTCAGTGGCAGTGGGGCCCCCCGGCCTGGCAGGGCCCCCCATTACGGCAGGGCCCCCCATTATGGCAGGGCCCCCCGGTGTGGTGTGCGCTGGCCACGCTCCGCCGGAGCCGACAGGAATTATTGGGGCGGAAATTTTTCCCAGGCTGCTCCGCTGCCGCCGCCACGGCTGCAGCCAGGGCTGCCCTCTCCGGTCCCCCCGTCAGCCCTCCCCGGTCCCCCGGCACATGGTGACACGCGGTGACACGCCGGAGGGGTCAGCGTGATTGGTGACACGGCGGTGACACGGCGGTGACACCAGGGAGGCCGTGGGTGCCCACGGGCAATGTGGCACGAGGTGGGACACGTCACAACCCCCCCAGCACTCCACAGGCACCCCAATGGCACCGAGAGGGACAAGGCCAGCCCCGTGACAGTGAGCAGGGTGTGACGGGGCACACACACGCCACAAACACAGCAGGAACACGTCAGGAACGTGCCAGGAACATCTCACACCTGCACCAGCGTGCGGGGCACGCAGCCAGTCCCTGGCAGGGAGTACAGTGTCACGGGGCACACGCACACCAGGAACATGCCAGGAACATGCCAGGAACATGCCACACCTGTGCCTGGCATGGAGGGCATACAACTGGCCCTGTGGTGGGCAGCAGGTGCCATGGGGCACGAACATGCTGGGAACACACCAGAAACATGCCAGGAAAATGTCCCAGCTGTGTGGTGCCCATGGGCCAGGACACGGCTCCTGTCCTGCCAGCTCAGCCCAAACGCGTCCCCTGCTGCCACCACCCTTCCCTGGGGGTACACAGGGACCCTGTCACTTCCGTCCCCAGGAGCCACCGGCCTCGGTGGCCTCATGGGCCAGTGGGTACAGCCGTGTCACTGCGGGAACAGCCGCATGACAACGGGACATGTGGTGACAGCAGTGGGGCAAAGGGTGATGGTACCGGGACACGCAGGGACACACAGTGACACGGGTGACAGGGACACGCGGTGATGGCACCAGGACACACAGTGACACGGGTGACAGGGATACGCGGTGATGGCACCAGGACACACAGTGACACGGGTGACAGGGACACGCGGTGATGGCACCAGGACACACAGTGACAGCACTGGGACACACAATGACGGTGCCGGGACATGCAGTGACACGTGATGACAGCACTGGGACACACGGTGACAGCTCAGGGACACGCAGCAGCTGCTGCGTCACCCACCGCCACCCCCACGCGGGGGATTCCCGCTGCCACCACATCCCCACGCGCCGTGTGACGGAGGGACGAGGCCACACGTGGCCTGTGTGCAGGGTGGTCCCATTTCCCACATCCCTTCCTGAGGAGCTGTGCACCAACACCTCCTACGTGTCCCAGATATATCCCCCCGGGGGGTGGCAGGTTCCACGGGGTCACGTGAGGTCACGAGGACCATGGGGAGAGGGGGGGTAACAGGTACTGTTACAGCGTCCCAGATGGCAAGGGGGGGCTGGGGGAGTCCCTGGGAGGGTCCTGCAGAAGGAACCCCAATCCCAGAGCGCCAGGTGGCCCCTTTGGCTGCGATGTGAGTGGGGACAGGGAGGGATGGGGGGGACAGCAGGGGAGGGGGTGTCGCTGGGGGCCTTGGGGGAACACCCCAACTCCAGAGCTCCTCACGGCCACTCTGACTGTGGTGTGAGTGGGGGCTGGGAGGAGACAGCAGGGAAGGGGAGGGGGTGCAGGGAGATACCCCAAACCCGGAGCCACCGGGCCCCTTTGGCTGTGGCTATGCCGGGTGGCTGCGGTGTGAGCAGGGGTGGGGGGCCCGGGGGGAAAACGGGGGGGAGGAACAGGGGAGGGAGGCCGGGGGGCGCGGCTCCAGCCACCAGCCGCTCCTGCCGCTAAATTTATCGCAGCTGCCACGGCAAAGTGGGACAAATCCCAGCCCGCGGTGAAGGGGAGGGCGAGGGGCGGGGGCAACAGTGGTGGGCCCAGGACCTGCAGAAGCTCTCGAGGCGGGGGGGGCCGGTCCTGCCGTGCACCGGGGGAGACCCCGGACCGCCTGAGATACCATCACTGGGCACCACCGGCCCCTTCCCTGAACCGTGTGGCCCCCACGGGTGAGGTGGGGAGGTGGCACCCACATCCCACCTGGACATCCCCCGGGACCCCCATATGGGGACTGTTCGGCCCTGCAGGCAGCTGGGAAGGGATGGATGTGGGGGGAGAGGGACCAGGACCCACACCCAGTCACAGCTCCCCAAAACACATCCCCAACCCCAGCACCTGGAGAACCCCCTCAGTGCAGGCCCATGCCACCCCCGAGGGGAGCACAGATTGGGGGGGGATGACATAGTCCTGATAACCCCTCCCTGAGCCAACCCCCCCACACATACAGCTGGGGACCCCCAGCGTGCCCCATGACCCCCAGTCGTGGGGCCCCCAGCCCACCAAGCAGTGGGGACAGCCCCCAGCTCCTCCATGTCCCCCAGGCATGGGGACAGCCCCCCCCTGCCCCCCCGTGCCATACAGGGCTCGGGGGTGCCGTGATGAGGGGCTGAGGACCCCTCGACACAAGTGGGCCCCCCACCCTCAGTGTGTGTGTCAGGACATCCCGACCCCTCCCCCACGGCGGTCCCCCTGCTCCAACACCCGTCACTCACAGTGACACAGATGGCGGCGGTGCCGGTGACACGTTCGGCGACACGCGGTGACACGCGGTGACACGTCCCGCCCCGGTGACGCGTCCCCGACACCTGCGGTGGCACCGACACCCCCCGCCCCCCCGGGACACCCGGCGCCGCACCTGCCGCGACCCAGACACCTGCGCCCACGGGGCACCCCAAATACCCCACGCGGGGATGGGGGGGCACCGGCACCCCCTGGGGCACCAGCACCCCCTGGCATCCTGACTTACCCCCCCGGGCACTGACACATCCCTATCACCCACTGGGGTGCTCCCAGGGGCACCAACAACCCCCTGGCACCCCCCAGCACCCCAACACCCCTGGCACCTCCACGGCAGAACTGTCTGGCCCCAATGCAGTGGCTCCCCCGGCCCCCAGCGGGGACCCCCTGGACCCCCAACACCCGCTCTGGCAGGTGATGTCAAACCAGACCCCCAACACCTGCACCGGTACCTGACACCTGCCCTACGGACCCCCAACATTCACACCTACACCCACACTGGCAGGTGCCCCACCTGCCCAGGTACTCCACACCAGCACCAGGGGGTCCCCAACAGCCACAGCCCCCCAACTCCTGCACCAGCAGGTACCAAAGGACCCCCAACACTCACATGGGCACCCAACGCTCGCCCTGGCAGGTGCCCCACACCTGCTCACGTACCCCACATCTGCCCAGGTACCCTACAGCAGCACCAACACAGGCCCTTGCACCCACCCAGCCACCCCAGCAGGTTCCCAGACACGCTGGACCCCACACACCTGAACACCAACACCCACCTGCATCACCGACCTTGGGGGGGGCCAGGGGAGACCCCTGGGGACACCCATGGCCAGACAGACACCGACCCCCATGACACCCCCATGACCTCGCAGGTGTCACCCAACACGGTCACCACTGGGATGGCACTGACCACCGGCCAGGTGACACCTGGCTGCAGCGACACCTGGCCCTGGTGAGTACACCCTGCTGCAGGGGACACCCCAACAGTGCCGACACCCTGACTCAGGGGACACCCAAATACCGGGGATACCCCAATGCAGGGGACCCCTCAGTAGTGCAGACACCCTAATGCTGTGGGGACCCCCTGACATGGGGACCCTCCCACCCCGCTGACCCCGCTGTCCCCCCAGGGGTGGCACTGGGGGTACTCACATCGCTGAGCTGCGGCGTCACGGTGCCCTCGGGACCCCCCGACATGGGCACGGGGGACACGCGGCCACCCCGAGCGGGCGGCGACAGTGGCACCACTGCTGGTGGCACCCGTGGCAGGGCGGGGGACGAGCCCTGCGACGGGGTGACGTCCCCAGGGGAGGGGGTGACGTCTCAGAGGGCGGTGTGCCCGCCCCAGCACCGACCTCCACCCAGTGACGCTGGTGCTGACCCACACCTGTCCCACGGCCACGGGCCACTGGTGAGGGGACGGCCGTGGGACCACCTGGGACACAGCGAGGACCACCTGGGACATGGCAGAGACCACCTGGGACATGGCAGAGACCACCTAGGGACGCAATGAGGATCACCTGGGATGTGGTGTGGACCACCTGGGATACGTAAGGACCACTTGGGGACACAGCGGGGACAACAGCCTTGCGCCATCACCCCTCCCCATGCCACAGCCATGGCCACCATGGCACAGCTGGACACAGCACCGGGCCCAGCCATGGCACCAGGTGGTCACTGGGGGCTCGGAGTGGGTGAAGCCCCCCAACCCTGATCATGGGGTGCCTGTGGAGGGTGATCTCCCCCAACTCCAGGGGGGGAACAGGAGAGCCCCAGACCCTGCCAGACCCCCAGAGACACCCACCACAACCCCTGGTGTCCTCCCAACTCGGTGTCCCCACCTTACTGCGGGGACATCCCTGGGACCCCCCACCCACTCACATCAAGACAAGCCATGGGACCCCCTCCGTCAAGCAGGGGATGCTCTCTGGAGCCCCCGGGCCCCCCAGATGCCCTTGCAGCCTCCCAGAGCCTCCTGCTGCAACTCCCAGTGCCACCCCCTGCTCAGTGTCCCCCCTCCCAGCGCAGCAACATCCCCAAGACCTGGCACCCACGCATGGCAGGACGAGTCGCATGCAGGTCCCTGTTCCCGATGGGGGGGAGACTCCGAAAATCCTGGGACCCTCAAACTCCCCAAAACACCCCTGCCACAACCCCTGGTGTCCCCTCTCTTCGTGTCCCACATCCCAGCGTGGGGACACCCCAGAGACAGTCCTGGGACCCCGCGCAAGACAAATCGCAGAAACTCATTTCCCTCTCAAGGGAGACCCCCCCCCCAGGAACCCCCGGCACCCCCCAGAGCCGCCTGCCGCGACACCCGGTGCCTCCCCTGCTCCGTCCCTGCAATCCTGGCGTGGGGACACCCACCCCTGGGACCCCGTGCCCACGCGCGACGCGATAAACCACGGGTCCCCTTCTCCCGGGCTCTCCCCGGCCCCCCCGTACCTCCTGTGCCACCAGGCTGGACACCCGGACGGCCCTGCGGACCCGGTCCCGCCGCTCCCCGTCGGAGCGGTCGCCGCTGTCGCGCCGCGCCGGGGCCATGGCCGCGCTCCGGGGGTCCCCGCGCTTCCCCCGCCGCCCCCGGCCCCGCGCGCGGCAGATGGAGCGGGGCGGGACCCCCCGAGCCCTCCCCGGCGCCCGCCCCCGCCGGGCTCCCCCCGATCTCCCCCCTCGGCTCCAGCCGCCGCCACTCCCCGGGGGAGGGACCGGGAGCGCCCGGGAACGGCCCCGCGGGGAAACTGAGGCACGACGGGGGTCAGACCCGGGCGAGGCGGGGCACGGGGGTACCACGGAACTGCTGTGCCCCCTGCCTGCCCCACGGTCACCCTCTGCCGGCTCCATTGCCAGCCCCTGCCCCACTGCCAGATGCCACCTGCAGCCCCCCGCCCCCCAAGGGATCCCCCGACGCGTGACCCGCACAGCCCCGTCAGCGGTGGCGTGGGGACAGTGACGATGGGGACAGGGACAGTGACGGCGGTGCTGAGCTGGCCGTGGCAGCCTCGGTTGATTCATGGCTCCTGGTGTCCCCATGTCCCCACGTCGCCGGTGTCCCTGGCCGCTGCCCAGCCCTGGCAGTGCCTCACGGCTGCACCCGCTCGGCCCCCTCTGGCACCCCCAGCCTGGTTGATGGGGGATGTGGGGGGCAGCGCCTGCACACACGCAGTGGGTGCCAAAGGGACCGGGGAGTCCCCGGTGTCCCCAGCCCACCACCGACAGCCGGTGACGTTCCAGTGACACCCCTCGCCTGGTGGCACCACGAGGTCTCCGCACACCCTGAGTAGGTCTGGGGTCTCCCACCCCATCCTGTCCCTCCCGGTGTCCCTGCCGGAACGCGCCGGGGGTCCCCAGGGGTTCCTGAGCCGTGGGGATGCCACGGCCACCCCGGCCACGCCAGGCCCTGTCACTGTCACTCAGGGCGTGGTGACCTTGCCGGGCGCTTGGCTCCAGCCCCGGGGGTGAGTCACGGTGCCGCTGTCGGGACATGCCGTTCCCCAGTGCCAGCGGACCGGGGGTCGCCGTGCCCGACCCGGGGACACCCCCATGCCCCCAGTCCCGTGTCTGCGTCCTCGGCTCTGCCCACCTCGGGGAGGACCCCCATCCCGTTCCGGGCAGATGCCGGGCGCTCCCCCCAGCACAGCTGAGGCACCCCGAGACCCCCTTCCCAGTGCTGGGGGCAGAGCCTGCCCCGGCGACCGTGACTGTGTCCCCTCGTGTCCCCTCGTAGCGACAGTGGGGGCAGGAGGGACCGGGGCGTCATGGGCGGCGCAATTAATCACGACCGAGGCAAGGAAAAGGCTCTGTGAGGAACAGGGGGTGCCGGGGGGTGCAGAGTGGAGGGGGTCCTCTGCCCCAGAGGGTCTGCCCCCCCCGCCACTGAGGGTCCCGCGGCTGCTCCAGCACTGGCGCGAGGAGCACCTGGAGCCCCGGCAGCAGGGCCGGGAGCTCCCGGTGGGAACGGGGGTCCCCTACGGGCTCCCTCACGTGTGCGGGCAGGTGCGGGGCCGGGGGGGTTCGGGGGGGCTCCGGGGGTGTGGGCAGATGTGCTGGGGAAGTTTTGTCCTCCGCCAGCTGCCGGAGACCCCCAGGACAGCCCTAGCGTGGGGGTTACAGGGACAGGCAGCGGGTCCCTCCCCCCGTGCACAGCCCCCCCAGGGGTCCCCAGAGCCCCCCGCCCCCCACCCCAGCTCATTAGGGGGGGCAATCAGGGTGTAATTAAGCGGCGCCTCCTGCTCCCGCGGCAGATGGCGGTTACACAACGGGCCACGGATTAGCGGCTGCCGCCAGCGCCCGGCACTGGCAGGCACGACACCGGGGTGAGGGGTGCCCCCATCGGGGGGTGTTCACCCCCTGTGCCCCACTGGGAGACCCCAGGGACAGAATGTGCCTTGGGTGGTCTGTCCTGGCCACATTCCACCACGGCACCCACGGCACCAGAACACTGCGGCCACAACCTGCCTGGCCCATCTCCCCGAGCCACTTGGTGCTACAGTGGGGGTACAGTGGCCTCCAATCCTGCCACACTGGCCCCTCTGGCCCCACCAATGCTGAGGCACTCCAGGGACCCGCTGGTGCCCTTGGCACCAGTACCGCCTCCCACTGCCTCCCAGTGCACTCCGGCACCTCCCGATGAGCTCCAGCTCCTGCTGAAGCATCCCCTGGGCTCCGGCTGTGCCCCCAGCACTACTCAGCCACCTTGGCATTGCCTGGCCACGTCCTGCAACACCCAGCCACCTCAGTCACCACCTGGCCCCTTCTGGCACCACCTGGCCACTTCTGGCACTGTTCATCCCCTCTGGCACTGCCCAGACACCTTGGCACTGCTTGGCCACGCTGTCACTGCTTGGCCACCTCCAACATCATTTAGACACCTTGTCACTGCCCGGCCATCTCTGCACCAGCTGGTCACCTCTGTCACTGCCTGGTCACCTCAGCATCACCTGACCAGCCACCTCTGGCATCACCTGGACACCTCTGTCATGCCCTGGCCACCACAGCACCGCCTGGTCACCTCCAGCATCACCTCGTCACCTTCGCACCGCCCAACTTCTGGGTTCCCCCCGTCCCTCTGGGGTCTTACCTGCGTGACCTTCTCGGTGACGTTGTGGGTGCGGTCGCGCAGTTTGGTGGGGGCGATGATGGGGCGGGGGGCCGGGGGCGGGGCCAGGAGCCCCCCCGGCTGCAGGTCCACGAAGTTGAGGGTGATCTGCGGGATGCGGCCGATGGCCCGGAACCGCGCCAGGTCCGAGTCCGACGTGGAGTTGAGCAGAGCGCTGCGCACGGCGGCCACCGCGCCTGCAGGGGACACCGTCACCAGGGGGACACGGACCCCCGGGGGGGCCCACAGTGGGCTGGGAACCGGGGGGACATGGGCCCTGGATCCCGGGGTGGGTCTCATGGCTCCCCAAGGCTCCTGGGGCAGGGGTCCCACGGCTCCCCACTGATACCAGGGTTGGGTTCCCACAGCAGGGAAAGTGAGTGGGGAGCCCCAGGGCAAGGCAGTCCCCCCAGTCGTGTGCCACAGGCCATCCCCTGGGACCTGTGGAGCTGCTCTCAGTTAACCTTAATATCATTATAATTATTGTCCCTTCTCGTAATGCGCTTAAAGAGCTCCAGGGCCAACAAGGTGATTCCCGTGGTGATTCCCACGGTGATTCCTGAGGCTCAGTGTGGCCCAGGGGATGGGGGGGGGGCCTGCAGGATGGGCTGGGAGGGTTCCAGCGGTGACAGGGGGGCCGCAGGAGGCAGGATGGAAGTCCCAGGGGCGATGGAGGGTTCCAGCCCTTCGCCAGCCCTTGGGCACTGCCACGGAGTCTGTGGGAAATGGGGGTGGGGGGTCACCAGGGTCTCTGGCTGTGGCTGTCCCAATGTCCCCAACCCCAACGAGTGTCCCCTGTGCCAGCTGGGCCGTACCAGTGCTGGAGCCGCGGTGCAGGCCGGTGCTGGCGCTGGTGTGGCGGTTGTGGCAGCGTTTGTCCCCGTCACCCTTCATGGCCTCGATGTCGTCGACGGACGACGCCCGGCGCAGGCTGCGGAGGCTCTCCCGGGAGCGACGCTCCTGGGACTGGCTCCGGGCCAGGCTGTGGTTGATGAAGGCCAGCGCCAGGCGCTCGGCCCGAGGGGACGACTGTGTCACTGGCGGTTCGGAGTCCCCCATCAGCGCCGCCTCGTCCTCGGGACGGTCCCCAGCCCCGGGCTCCAGCGAGGATGAGGCGTCCTCAGGGCCCGAGTCGCTGCCAGGCAGGGTTGGGTCCATGACCAGCGGGTCCACGACCCCCGGGTCCACCACCACCACGTCCGGCGGCTCCGGCGGCTCCGGCGGCAGCGACTGGCGGCTGCCCGTGAGCGCCAGCAGCTTCAGCCGCAGGGACCGGCTGCGCCCTGGGAGGAAAGGACGGGTGGGGGTCAGGTTTGGGGTGGGGATCTGGGTTTGGCCTCAACCCCAACCAGTGCTGTTCACCAGCACCAAGGCACCCTCTGCCCTCGCCATGTGCCCCACAGCATCACGTCCCCCTGGGACATGGGGTCAGCAGGGTGACACAGGCCCCTTCCCCAGCAGGTGATCGAGGGGTTGGTGTCCCTGTCCCCCTGTACCTGCAGGGCCCCAGGGGGCCGGGGTGACCCAGTGGTTGGTGCTGGGGGCTGGGGCCTCCCCCGGCTCAGGCTCCCTCACGGCCTCAAAGTTGAGGATGAACATGATGACGGCGCCATCCTCGTTCTTCACTGGCACCACATCCACCAGGCATGGGAAGGAGCTGCCTGTGGGGAGGGAGGGGGTCAGTGACACGGGGGGACAGCACCCCTGTAGGGGGTACCCCTGCCCGCCCCCTCCCCTTTCCCCCCCACATACTGGGGTACACTCCTCCACCCCTCCTGTACATCCACTCCTGTTCCCCCACTCTGCTGTGCAACCCCTGTCCCTGCTGGGCACCTACTCCTGGCCCCCAAATCATCTAAGCATCCCCTCCTGCCCCTGCTTCCTGGGAGGCACCCCATCATGGGGGGCACTCTGTCCTGGGGGACACCCCATCCTGCCCTCCAATCCTGACTCAGCCGGGTGCAGCCACCCCTACAGCTGCACCACAGGGGGAGACTGAGGCACAGGAGGGCAGAGGAGGGTGGGGGTGGTTCCCTTCCCCCTCCCTCCCAAAACGCTTCAGGCAGGGCCATGGGGGGGCGGCGGGGCCCAGGGGGCTCGGGGGGGCTCTGGGGGTGCGGGGCCGGGTTAAGCCGCTCAGGAGTTGTTAACAGCTGTGGCGTTAATCTGGTGCCACAGCTGGAGGGGGGGCCGGGGTGGTCAGGGCAGCCCGGGGTAATCTCTGTGTGATGGGGGGGGGGATCCTGCCTCCTCCAGCACCCCTCACCCTAAGGGGACCCCAGGGGGACACACGTGGGTGATAACAGCGAGACATGTGGGTGACGCCAAGGCACTGGATCACCACCCCCACCACCCCCCCGGCGTTGTCCTCCCTCTGTGTCCCCCCTGCTGGCGCCGGGCCCAGCAGCACGGCAGGGCGGGTGCCAGCTGGCACTGTCCCCGTGCCTGTGCCCGTGGCGGGGGGATTCCCTGCTGCACGAGAGGCTGCGGGCCAGGGGCCAGCACAGGGTGGCACGGGGTGGCCCGGGCCACCATGGGGTCCCGGCCGAGCTACGCCGTGGGGGAATTAGTGGCACCAACACGTGGCCACTGCTGCTGTTGGCTTCATCCGCCCCCGCGGGAATCCTGAGGCCCCGAGCCCAGGGAATCCAGCCCCCCCAGCCCACTGCCCTCAGGGGTGTGGCCCAGGACGGGGGTGTTGGGGGGATCAATATGGGACCCCTATGGTGAGGGTGACGGTAGGACCAAAGAGGGGACCCTGGGGTAGGGGCAACAGGAGAACCCCCATGGCAGGGACACACAGTGCACTGCAATGGGATCCCCGTCTCTGCACCCCAACCCCCTGCACCTCACACTGTGCCCTGCACCCCAGCTGCACCCCTCACCTCCAGAGCTGCACCCCAAATCCACCCTGCACCCCCTGCATCCCTTCTCATGACAGCCAGTGAGCACCACTAGGACCCCCAAAGTGGGACGACCCCCCTGCATGCTGAAGCCCTGTAGCCCCTCAGCCTGCACCCCCGTCCCTGCACCCTACCCTGCAACCCTGCACCCCCGCACACTTAGCCTGGACTGCAACCTGCACCCCTAAATGTGCAGCAAGGACAGGGGCACCCTGCTGGCACAGCGGGGACAGCCACACCCAGAGATGCCACCTGGTGCCACGGTGACACAGCCCTGATTCAGCTCCCGCCCCGCACTGACACCGGGGCCACGCACGGGGGGACCCCAAAGGCCACAGCAGTCCCCAGGGACAGGGTCCGGGGAGCCCGAGGCCCCACAGGTGTCACCACGGGGACACGGGTCCCCCACGGGCGCCGTGACCTCCCAGCGTCCCCGGCGCCATAAACAACACGTCGGGAAGATGAATGGCTGCGGCAACGGCAGCGACGCGGCGGCTCCACGGCCCCGCCAGGGCTCTGCTACGGCACCAGGATGCAGCGGGGGCTCGGGAGAGGGGGATGTGGGGGGGGGGGCAATCAGCATAACTCCAAGGGACTCATGGGTGCCAGCGGCACCAGGAGCACCGGGAATGCCACGGCCCAGCCACAAGGCCGGAGCCACTGGCAACAGGATCCCTGCCTCCCGTGCCAGAGGAGGGGCAGCAATGGGACCCCATGAGACCCCCCAGGCTAGCCCCACAGTGGCAGGTGGCACCAGCACTGTGTCACAGAGGGGACACCCATGGTGGCACCACCACAGCCCCCAGGGCCAGTCCCCAGGCACAGGGCCTGTCTGTGGGTGCAGGACACCCCAGATCCAGGGGTCACACACTGCCAGGGGGTCCCACCCCCTGCTCCACAGGGCAGCCGGTCCCCACGGAGGGCAGTCATGGTGGAGGGTCACAGAGCACCCCCCAGGACCCCCATCACGTGTCCCCGTGGGCCCAATAGCAGCACCCAAGGCCTGGCAGGGGGTGGGATCCCCACACCACTTGGGAGGCACAGTTGGGCGTGTTGGGGTCCCGTGGGAGCCCCAAGAAGGCCCCAGGCAGGAGCATGAGCCCATCCCCATGCCTGGCACAGCTGGTGGCACCACCAGGTGATTAGTGCCACCCTAACGAGGGCTCAGCCCAGTACAGGGTGCGGGGGGGCATCGACGTGCTCCCCACAGCCCCTGGCACCACGCAGTCCAAAGGGCACCAGGGCATGCCAGGCAGTGCCACGGTGGCAAGGTGGGGGTCCCAGGGCCAGGAGCAGTGCCCCCCTCCCCAGCTCAGCCCCATCAGGGCCCCCAGAGCCACGGTGGTTCCCATGGTGCCGCGGCCACGCCGACAGCTGGCACCAGCTTTGTTTACTCCAGCACCGGAACTAGGGCCATGTGCCCAGAGCTGGGACACATGGTGTTGGCACAGGGCCATGGTGAGGTGCAGTGCCAGCACTGCCAATGTGGGGTGTCAGCCCTGGTCTGGGCTCTGGGGGTCACAGCATCCCCTGGCACAGGGACCCTGCGATGTCACTCTGTCCAATGACCCCACACACACCCCAGAGGGACAGTGGAAATGTGACACTCGACACTGGCTCAGCTCCGCCACTCCTGTGCCCTTGTCCCTCCTCCAGGTGACACGGTGCCCCCACACAACCTGTCACCCCTCTGTGCGGGGATGCACTGCACACTGCTCCCATCCCGAATACCCCAGCCCCACAGCACATGACCTCCTGGGACCCCAATCGGTGGCCCTGGCACCATCACCCAGCTGGCACTGGGGAGAGCTCCAGAGCCCTGGGGTGCCAGTGCCCCTCGAGAGCTGCCCCCAGTGCCAGGCTCCTAGCCTGCTGGGAGCCATCACAGTACCGGGGAGCACTGTGGACCTCTGCAGGTGTTGCAGCCCCTCAGGAGCTACCAGTGTCCCTCAGGAGCCACAAGGGCCAGGTTCCCACCTGTGCCGGTGCCTCGTGCCACCCATGGCACTGGCAGGTGCTGGATGGGCACGGCACAGGTCTGCCCCGTGCCTGCTGTCCCTCTGTGCGCAGCACAGCCCCCCGAGGGAAGTCCATACTCTCCTTGTGGTAGAGGTGGATGAGCACCTTGTACTCCCACCCCTGCTGCCCCCTGTCCTTGCCTGTCTCCTGCCCCCCCTGGGGGTCTGTACCGTCCCTGTGGTAGAAGCAGATCCCACACACGGTGTCCCCAGCCCAGCTCCCCTGTCCCCAGCCGTTCCCCGTGCCCGGGGGCCGTACCATCCTTGCGGTAGAAGCAGATCTCCACCTTGCGCTCCTCGGCCCCCAGCAGGGCCTGTGCGATCTGAGCGGCCGCGCGGCGCTGGGTGCGGGGCCCGTGCAGGAAGTCGCAGGTGCTGGGCTGCTGCATCACCTCGGCCCGCGAGTACCCGCAGAGCCGGCAGAACCCCTCGTTGCAGTAGATCACAGCGCAGTTCTCCACCCGCGCGTTCCCGATGATGAACTTGCGGCCTGGGGGGAGAGGGGACACGGGGGTCAGCACAGAGCAGCCCCAGCCTGGCAGCCCATGGGGATGGGCCTCCCCATCCATCCGTCTGTCCATCCATCCATCCGTGGCTCTGGGCTCCCCAGGACGAAACACCCTGTGAGTTGCCCACCCCCCCCTGCCCACAGGGACTCCCTAAGCTGATGGCACCACCACCATGAGGATCCCAGAACTGTGGGGACCCCATAACCACAGGGGCACAGGGACCCTCACCCTCACATGGACCTGGGACCCCACAACTGTAGTGACACAGGGACTCAAAACATTGCAGGGACCCCTCAAGGACCCCACTACCACGAGGACCCAGGAACACCCACCACTGCAGGGACATCGTCATCATGGGGACCCCACAATGGCAGGCACTTCAGCAGGGCAGGGACCCCACAACAGGGACCCCAGAACTGCAGACACCCCACCAATAGAAGGACCCCAGGACACCCAGCACTGCAGGGACCTCATCACCATAGGGACCCCCAAATCTGCAGAGACTCCTCAGGGACACAACTACCATGGGGACCCCCACCCTCAAGGCAGGGGCTCAGCCAGGCTAGACACCCAGCCTGTCCCCCAGCAGGGTAACACTCCCCAGCCCGACCCTTGGGGCAGCATCATCCCCATGTCACTGCCCTGTCCCCAGGGGGATGCTCCCTGATGGGTGCTGGAGACCCTCAGAACTCCCAGTGTCCCCACTCCCACATGTCCCCCTGGTCTCCCTGCACCTGCGGCTGTGGGGGCCATGGGCCAGGTGGGATCCCCAGTCCCACAGCAGCCTGAGCTGGGGGCAGGGTCTCCATCACCCCGCAGGGACTGGGGGAACCCATGAGCTGTGGGCTGCTGGGGACTGGGGGAGGTGGGCTCCCTTTAGTAAGCTTGTCCCCATCACCTCAAACTCGCCCGGGGCTGGGGGCTGCTGGGGGGTTCTGGGGGCCAGGGTGGGCAGTGTCCCCCCCTCCACAAGCTGGGCTTGTCCCAATCACTCCAAACCCACCTGAGGCTACCGTCTCCCTGGTCCTTCCCATTCCGGGTCCCCCCAGTGTCCCCTAATGCCCCCATCCCCGGTCCCCGCTGCCCCGTCCCTCCCACCCCCGGCTCCCCCGGCCCCGCCCCTCCCGCCTTTCCCCCCCGGCCCCGGTGCCCCCCCAGGCCCCCACTCACTCTGCCCCTCGAACTTGCGGATGATGGTGTCCAGGAAGGTGTTCTGGGGGGCGACGTGCCCCCGCCGCACCGGCATCGCGCCGGGCCCATGGGCAGCGCCGGCGGGGGCGGGGGGGCCGGGGGGGGCCGGGAGGGAGGGGGGGGCCCCGCGCCGCGGGGGGTCCCGCTGCCCTTGAGCCAAGGACGGCGGCGCTCCGGGGGGCCCGGGGGGCCCTCCCCGGCCCGGGGCCGCCGGGCGCGGACCCCGCCCGCCCACAGCGGGGCCGCGGGGCCGGGAGGGGACCCGGGGCCGGGGCCGGGGGGGGGCCGGAGGGGGCGGCGGGGCCGAGCCCCCCCCCGCTCTACCCGCCCGGTGCGCGCCGCGCCATCGGCCTTATTTAGTCACGGAGCGGCCGGGGGGGACCAGCCCCCGCCCCGCGCGCTCGGCGCCGCTCGGGGCGGCTCGGGGCGGCTCGGAACGGCTCGGCTCCGTTCGGAACGGCTCGGCTCGGCCGGTTCGGCCCGGTTCTGCCCGGTTTGGCTGGGCTGGGTTCGTCCAGGTTCGGCTCGGCTCGGCCCGGCCCGGTTCGGCTGAGCTCGCGCGGACTCGGCTGGCTTCGGCGCGGTTCGGCTGGGCTGGGTTCAGCTGGGCTCGGCTCGAGCCGGCGCCGTTCGGCTGGGCTGGGCGGGTTCGGCGGGGCTGTGCTGGGCTGTGCTGGGCTGTGCTGGGCTGGGCTGGGCTGGGCTGGGCTCAGTTCACCTCGGCTCGGCTGTGCTGGGCTCGGCTCGGTTCGGCCCGGCCCGGCCCGGCGGGCGCGGCGAGCGCTGCGTGTTGACAGCCGGGCCCGGGGGCGGGGCCAGCGCGGCCGCAGCCAATGGCCGGGGGGGGCCCGGGGACCCCCCGCCCCGCCCGGCCCGGGGGCGCGAGGGGGGCCCTCGGCCACGCCCACCGATCGGCCACGCCCACGGCCATGCCCATCGATCACCGCGCCCCCCCCCTCTTCCCGGGGACACCCCGGACCCCCCTTCTGCAGCGACACAAGGGGATACCAGGACCCCAGGACATGGGGACATGGCGACATGGGGGCACTGGGTCACCAGGACACGGGGACACCGGGACATGGGGACACCGAGACACACGGACTCCAGGATACAGGGACAGTGAGACGCTGGAACACCGGGAGACAGGGACATGGGGTCAGTGGGGCAGCAGCAGAGCCTTCTGACACAGCCCCAGCCGCGTCCTGTCAGGAGCCACCCAGGCCCAATCCTGCCATCCCGGCCTGGCCCAGTCCCATTCCGAGTGCCAGTCCCAGTCCTTATCCCAGTCCCAATCCTGATCTAATCCTAATCTCAATTCAATCCTAATTCTAGTTCCAGTCCAACCTAGCCCTGGTCCCACTCCCAGTCCTGTCCAGTCCAAACCCCAGTCCCAGTCCCCACCTAGTCTCTATCCAGTCCAGTTCTGTCCCAGTCCCAACCCTAGTCTAGTCCTGCCCATTTAGTCCAAAACCCAGTTCCATTTCCAGTCCAGTCCAAGGCCCAGTCTCAGTCCTGGTCCTAGTCCTCCTAGTCCACTCCCAGACCAGTTCAGTCCCTTCCCAGTCCTACTCAATTCCATTCCAGTCCAAGTCCAAATCCAGTCCAGTCCTAGTCCCAGGCTCAGTCAAAGATCAGTCCCAGTCCCATTGCTGTCACAGTCCAGCCTAATCCCAGTCCCAGTCATGGTGCTGGTCCCAGTGCTGTTCCCAGTCCCAGTCCAGTCTCACTGCAGTCCAGTCCAGTCCTAGCCCCATTCCAGTCCTAATCTCAGTCCTGGTCCAAGTCTAGTCCAGGCCCAAGTCCCTGTGCCAGTTCAGTCCAGTCTCAGACTCAATCATGATCCTGGTCTGGGTGCCGGTCCCAGTTCCAGTTCAGTCCCAGTCCCAATCCCAGTTCAAGTCCAGTCCAGTCTAGTCTCAGTCCTAATCCCGATCCTGTCCCAATCCCAGTTCCAGACCCAATCCCATTCCCATTGCAGTCCTAGTTCAAATCCCACTCCCAGTCCCATTTCAGTCTCACACAGTTAATTCCTGGTTCCAGTCTAGTCCTGGCACTGGTCCGGTCCCAGTCCCGTTCCATCCGAGTTCAATGCCAGTCCCAGTGCCCTCCTAGTCCCGCCGCCCCCGGGCTCTGTCCCAGGTGCTGAAGCTGTCCCAGCCCCGGCTCGGCTTCGCCGCTGGGCCGCGACCGCGGGGACCGACCGGACTCGAACGGACCGACCGGACTCGAATGGACCGACTGGACCCGAATGGACCGGCCGGACTGACTGGACCGATGGGACCGACCGGCCCCAACCGACTTTGAAGGGACCAGAACAGACCCACTGGACCCAAACGGACCCGAATGGATCTGAATGGACCGACCGGACCCAAACGGACACACCAGATCCGAATGGACCGAGTGGACTCACCAGACCCGAGAGGACTTGAATGGACCGACCGGACCAGTCGGAGCTCAGCCGAACCGGGCGGGGGGACTGTGGGGCACGGGGGGCTGTAGGGCAGGGGGACACTGTGCGCTGCAGGGAGGACTGTGGAGTACAGGGGAGGGCTGGGAAGGAGGGGGGGGTCTGTGGGGCAGGACAAGCTCTGACGCCCCCAGCTCCCCCCTATCCCACGGCCGAGTCCCCGCCCCTGCGGGCAGGACAGCCAATCGGACGGGCGCTCTGCCGTGACAGACAGGCCTGCCCCGCCCCCCAGGGGTGGGCAGGGAACACGCCGGGGCCGGGGGGGCAACCCGGGACCCTCCCCGGGCGGGATGATCGAACCCCACTCCCCGTTCGGGGCCGGGGCCGCCCCCTCTGTGCCCCCCCGGGACGTTCTTCCCGTGGTTGTGGCCCCCCTCGCCGTGCCGCGGCACCCGCCCCGCGCCCCCCGGTCTCCCCAGCCCCGCAGGAAGGAACCGCCTCTCCGGCACCGGGCGCGGTTTCCCATCGCTGCGGGAGCTGCGGGCTGAGCCCCCCGCGAACCTCCGGCGGGACCCCCCCGCCGGGACCCGGGTGATCCCGCACCCCTCCGCACCCGAACAGCCTTCCTGCCCCGGGGTCCCCGCACCCGCGACCCCCGGGACCCCCGCCCCACTGCGGAGTCACTGTACGACTCTCCCAGCCGACAACTGGGGTGACGCCCCCCCACCCCGCTCTGCTTCTCAGAGTGCCCCCCCCGGGAGGGTCAGGGGGTGCACCCCCCCTTCGTAGGGTGTCCCCCCTCCCAGGGGTGCCTATCCGGGGTTCCCCGGGAGCGACCGGCAAGTCAATGGCCGGAACTGGGTGGAAGCGGCGGGAAATGGGGGGGTCCCGCCGGACATCCGCCCCACGGATGGCCCGGGAGGGCCCCGGGCCCCCCCGGAGCACCCAACTGCCCGGCACAGAGCACTGGGGGGCACAGTTTCCTGTGGTTGGGATGGGGGTCCCTACCACCACCACGGCTCCGCAAGTGCTGTGTGTGTCCCCACGGGTGCCATGTCCCCTCCACTGCCATGTCGTCCTATGGGTTCCGTGTCCTCTCTCCGGGTGGCGTCACTGTGACCCCAAGGTGCTAGCCCCCCCCCCTCCCCCGCTCCCATGTGTGTCCCCAAGTGCCATCTATTTCCCCAGTGCCATGTCCCCGTGAGTTCCACGTGTGTGCCCCATGTCTGCCCCGGTGCCGTGTCCTCCCCAGCGCCGGGTCCCTCCTGGGTGCAATGTGTGACCCCCAAGCTGCCGTTTACCCTCCACAGGTGCCACGTGTCCGCCCCAGGGCCATGCCATGCCCCCAAGCGCCATGTATCCCACCTAGTGCCACGTCACCCCCAGTGCTGTGTCCCCCCAATGTCATGCGGGTCCCCCCCATGACCCCCCCAGTGCCATGTCCCCCACTCTGGGTGCCATCGCTGCTTCCCCATGGCCATTTACCGGGGTGCCGGGGGTCAGATTGGGTCCAAAACCCCCCGGTGGGGTCCCCAGCGTGTCCCACAGCGTGTGGCGATGGCAGGGGCAGTGGCGGTGGCTGTGGAGGTGACGAAGGTGGCAGTGGAGGTGACGGAGGTGGCGGTGACGGTGGCGGTGCCCATTGTGCTCGGGGCGGGGGCGTCGCGGCCCCGTCACCACTTCCCCGGGCCGGAGGAAGCGGGAAGCGGCCGCTCCCGGCTCAGAGGAGCCGCGATGGGGAACCTGCCGGGGGTCCTGCCCGGGGCCCCCCGCGCCTGCCCCGGCCTCGGCCTCTGCTCGCGCCCGCGTGGACCCGTGCCCGAGGACCCTCCTGTCACCGCTGCCAGCGCCGCCGTCACCGAGCCCCCCGGGTGGGTGTCCAGGTGGGACGGACGGGGTGGGATGGGATGAACGGACGGGGCCCCGGCACCCACCTTGCCGCGGTCCCAAACCTGGCCGGGGACCCACCTCCTGGATCCCGGGGGCATCCCCGCATGGCCGGAGCCCACCAGAGACGTGTCCCCGCCGTGGAGGTGTCCCCGAGGGGGTGGCACGCTTGGGTCACCAGGGCAGGACGCGGTGCCCACCGGCAGCACAGCCCTGCTCCCACTGCCCGTGGCATCGTGCCAGTGTCCCCTGTCCAACGGCGCGGCCCCGGCAGCCCGTGGAACCCACTGGGGTGCACTGGGACGGGTTGGATTTGGAGATGGGAACATATGGGGAGGGG